CGGCTGGCTGCTGCGCGGCCGCCGCCCTTATCCGTGTTTTTGCTGTCGACGCGTTTGACTCTATTGTGCTTTCGCCCCGTATGGACCTGGACATTTATTTGGATGATTCTGGGCTGTCCTGCGCTGGGCCCAAGCAATTCGTTGATAGCACAGTGGTTGGGACGAAAGCGCTGCGCCATGCGATCATCTAGTTGCTCGGATGCAGCGCTGCTCTTGACGAGGTCTGCATGGTGGCCTCCAGCGGAACCGCGGCGGCTGAGGTGTCTGCTTAGCTTTATTCCTTCGCTGGCAGTGTAGAAGATTCCACCGTCGACACAGGCGTTGACTTCGCTGCTGGGAAGTCGGCGAAGACTGCTGGCAGGCGCTCGAAGCTGAAGGCCAGGATCGCCCAAATGTGTCGACGCAGTAAGCGCCAGGCAAGGTTGGCGGGCGCTCAGGGGCGAAGGGGCATTCGGTTTTTTTGCCGCGGGACCGCTTGCTGGGGGGCCCCGCAGTGCCGAAATCTCTAGCACCTTCGACCTCGATCTTCTGACGATGGGCAGGTTGGTTTTTTCGCGGGTTCGCCCTTTCGCTCAGTCACGTTGTTTAACGGCCTGCTGCATTTTCTCTTTAGGCCCCACCTGGAGGGCGGCAGCCGCTCCAATCATGGGGCGGGGGGAAGAAGTTTGGCCGGCGCAGACTGGGCAATTTCAAGGCTCTCTCACCCACAGGACCCTTCGTCATGCTTGGTCCGCGGCGTGGGATTCGCATCGGTTTATCTGGGCCTCTGTTGTTGGCCCGTTGTCTGCTTTGCTTCTTACGTTAGTCAGGTTAGGGTGGCACGTGCGCAACTATTGTGTTATCAGAGATGATGGAGGATACGAAATTCCCCCGCGTGTCACCTCTCCTGAGCTATTGGCCATCCACAGCCGCGAGGCCCCGTTGCGTTCCTTGGAGCGAGATCTGGGTGCCTAGTGGCGCCAGGGTGTGCGTGTGTTTGGACGTTGTTAGGGAAGGCCTCGATTCCAAGAAAGTCGCATCTGGAGAAGGAGGGCTGATCAGGGCGTTCGCCTGCAACGCCAGTAGGACCCACGACAGAGCCATTCTGTGCAGGTGCCAGCTTGACCCCAGGTGTAATCATTCTGGTTTGCCAGATTATCTTCATCACGTGTTTGAAGCAAAATAGGGAAAAATACCGTGTGTGGAAATACCCTCCCCCCACCGCAGGGAGAAAACCTCTGCACCAGGATTACCCCCCCTCCCTCCCTCCCCCCCCTTCCCTATCCCTCCCTCCCTCCCCCCTCTTCCCTATCTCTCTCTCTCCCTCCCTCCCCCTAATCTTCATCATCGACCTTGGGTTTGCAGTCGTGTTGGCGAGCTTCGGGCTCAGTGGGCCGACGCCTCTGTGATTGCTGCCGCCCCTGAGGCCGAAGGGTACTCGCGCGCCCTCTATTGTCGTGGGGCTTTCGCTCACCCAGCCGATTACCTCCCTCGTCCGCGGTCCAGCGGACGAGGGAGGAGGAGGAGGGAGGAGGAGGAGGAGGAGGAGAGGAGGAGGAGGAGGAGGAGGAGGAGGAGGAGGAGGAGGAGGAGGAGGAGGAGGATAGGAGGAGAGGAGGAGGAGGCCTCCTCCTCCTCCTCCTCCTCCTCCTCCTCCTCCTCCTCCTCCTCCTCCTCCTCCTTGTCGTTTTACCTCCCTCGTCCGCGCTTCGAAGACATGGTCCAGCACATGTGGCGCGGGGAAGGCGCGGAAAGGGCCTGAAGGGCCGGAAGTTCCTCGGGACGGGGCTGTCCGGGGCCATTTGTTCCTCGACGGTTCTTGGGAAAAGCAAGCCTGATGAGGGTGTGTTGTGCGAGCTTGGCCATGAAGTCGTTGCTTTTCCCTGCGATGACGGGAGGTGTGTTTCCGTAGGTATCAAGTGAAGTTCAGGTCCCACAGTACGGGTGCGCGCATCGATGATCTCGGAAGGCGATGCGGCGGTCATCCCACCAGTGCTGCCGAGCAGCTGTGGCGCTTCCTGTGCAAAGGGATGCACCTTAATCCCCGCAGGCGCCACGTGTCGATAGACGTGGGTTCGTTGTGCGAGCTTTTCGGCCATCGGCACACAGTGGCCCGGCCTGCCAGCTTAGTTTCTGACAGTGCTGCCTCGTCTTCTCAGCCTGCTGTCGCCGCTGGAGCCCGTCCTTGCTAGGACGTTTCTAGGAACCCTTTCACCATTCCCAGCCGAGGCGATGATGACGACTCGTACTGACTATCTTACTTGTCCTTCCTGTTGCAATTAGTGGCTAACTGCGTTTGCCGTGTGTCTCAGGTTGCTGACATCTGCCTTTCCTTCAGTGGCGAATCTCGCCTGCTGTTAGTTCAGGCTTGTGGTGAGGTCGGCGCCGTCGCCGCTCTGCCCAATTGTCTGCGCCCCGGTGGGTGCAACTTACAGTGGTACCAGCCGCCGCTGCTCGGACTTTGTTGGCTGTGGAGTGTTGAGTTCGAAAAACTACCGTGGACTTCGGTCCATGGGAGCCGATTAGTGATCGAGTCCCGCAGCCCAAGCTATGAACTGGAGTCGCTACGCCAGGTCTGCCGTGGCCGCTTTTTTGGGTGGCGGCAGTGCCGGTCAGTGGAATGAGGCGGGGGGTGGGCGGGGGATCCCCCGGTACACATTACCAGGCCGGGCCACGCCAGACCCAGTCCTGCCCTCGCGGTCCCACTAAACCCAGGAAACTGGGTCCCGCCAAACGACTAAGACCAGGCCCCACTGAACCCACTGAACCCAGACTTGGGCCCACTGAGCCAGGTCCCACCAAACCCACTATCGGCATCCCCAGAACATACTTATACTATGTGTTCGTCGCCCCCCCAGGGGCGACGCGCGCACCGAGAAATCTTGTAGTATATGCGTCGTGGCGGGCGCGTTCTGGCCACACCGCTCGAGAAACGATATACTACAAGATGGGTCTACTATATGTTCGGGTCGGACGCGCGCCTCCAAGGCGGACATATAGTATTAGTATGTCTCTGTGCGTCCCACACTAAGCCAGGTCCCACCAAACCCACTAGACCAGGTGGAGGAGGAGGAGGAGGAGGAGGAGGAGGAGGAGGAGGAGGAGGAGGTCCCAGTAAACCCAGCGCCGATCCAAACTGTCCGTGCGGACCTCCGACGGCGTGGAGCCTGCCGCCCGCGCGCGCGCGCCCGCCGCTGGCGCGCGCCTGCCGGGGGCCCTCGGCCCTGCCCTCCCGCACCGTGCCGCTGCACCGCCGTGCCGCTGCTTGCTCGGCCCACGCCGCCTCGTGAGATCCTCGGGATGGGTCCAGGTGGTCTTTCCTCCCAATATCCCAGCAACGCTGGGCGCTGCCGCCTTCGTTCTCGAGGTCGGTTTCGGTGGGCGCGGTGATAGCCCCCCGCAGGGGAAGCGGACCTAGAGCTGAATGCCCTTGGACGGGCCTCGTGCGCCTGTGCTCCGCGGTCGTGTTCATAGGAAAAACATATTCCAACAACAAAGGGGGTGGGAGGCCCGCGCACGCCCCGGGCAGCCCGTGCCTCGAAGAGCGGAGCGGCTCTTGCCTGGCGGGCAGCACGGTCTCGAAGTGCCGCCAGTTCGCCACTTGGCCTGGAGAGAAGTCCCGATGTGGCTACACATCACTGGCTGGGGGCGTCGGGGACGCCATGGCACAGCTCTTCTGTGGGTCCATTTGGTTTTTCTCCTCCGTCACCCCTTCCGTCTACAGGCGGATCGAGGCACAAATAAGATCGAGGTCGGTTCGCAGATGGTGTCCTAGTGTTCTTCGAGCTCTCTGGGTGTTCTTGTGCATCCTGGGCAGGGTGCCCTTGGATGTCCTGTTTCTTCTGGCCAGCGGTGGGTCTCATGTTCTTGATGGATGTCGACTACACGAAAAATTGACCCTTCGCCGGAGTGACACCGGGGTCCTCCGATCGCCGTTCGCGATGCGATAGTAGCGTCTTGCGCGCTTGTGCTTGGTCCCCCCGCTGTCCCCCAAAAGCCGCCCACCAAAGGTCACTCTTTCCCCGAGTCGCTCCTGCGTGTAGCCGATTTTAAGTCCTGGCTCCGACTGGAACTGCGCTCCTGTCGGAGGCTCGTTCCCTCTCCATGGAAGCAGCTCCAGTGCCTGGCCGGGGCGCCGTCCCCGGGCGGCGTTCTGGGGGCCGAGCTCCCGAGCAGAGCGCGGGCGGGCCGTCACGGGCCTCTTGTCCGCGACGCAGGGGCGCCGCGACGGCCGCTTAACTCCCCTCTCGGTTTGGTACCCGAGGGGGCCAGCCCCGGGCCCCCCCCCCCCGGGGGCAATCGGCGAGAGCCAGCTCAGAGTTCAAGAGGCGGGGGTTCGTGCAGACGGGGGTCCGTCAGAGCGCCGGATCTTGCAGGATCCTGCAGTGCCAGGGGTGCATCGACCCTGGCTCTTGGGCGCAGGACCCTGCAGGATCTTGCGGCATCCTGCAGAGCCCGACTGACCCAGGTCTGGGCTGACCCGGGTAAGTATCGGACGGGGCTTAGGACGAGGATAAGTCCGTTCCAGAGGGATCCGAGCGTGCAGGGACGCTCTCAAAAGGCCGCGGCGCCCGAGACATCCTCCAGAACCGCCGGGTCTCAGAGATTCTCGATGCATCCTCACCCGAATTGATCATCGTCCTGGCTTCGTCTTGCAGTAGATCCTCGACCAGCTCGGGGGACGAGGAGCCGCGCCCCCAGGGGCAGCGGACCGAGAGTTCTAGCGGTGCCCGCGTGGTGGAAGGCAGAAGCCGTGGGGTCGGGTTGGCGCGGGCGCGCCTCGGCGGGCCTCCATGGCAGGTCTCCTGGTCGTCCTCGTCTCTTCGCGCACCTCATCTTGGCATCCTCTCGAAGCCCCCCCCTCGTTCCCAGACCTCCGAGGAGACGATTTTTATTCGATCCTGACGTTGTTCCTCGATCTCGACCTTTCGGGCCCGTTCTGATCCGTGATCGGGCCCCAGGGCCATCACAAAGTACGGATCCGGGACGAACAGCTGCCCACGGGGAAGCGGTCGGGACATCTTGGGCCACGGGCTGAAAAGATCGAATCGGCGGATGTCAGGGATCCCCCTTTTCATTCTCGCTCTCGCCCCCCTTCCCGTCCGGGTCGTCGGCGTTCGTCCGCTCTGTTTCCCCCTCCTCGTCGCCTTCCCTCCTGCGCCCCCGTCTCCACTTTCCTCCCTGCTCGGCCCCTCCCTTCCCTAGCCGTTTGGCGCTGGGGACTGCGCGGTGAGGTGCCTCGCGATTCGTTTTTTTCCGTGCGGATGCGTGACGAGCGATGAGCGCGGGTCCTCCTCCGAAGTTCAAGGTGGTCTTCCTGGGGGATGAGGCATGCGGCAAGACCTCCCTGGTGCGGCGGTATACGTACGACTCCTTCGAGGAGTCGGTGCAGACGACGGTCGGCATGGACTTCCAGAGCAAGACCGTGCACCTGGAGGACGGGGGAGAGAGGCGAGGAGGAAGAAGAACGAGGCAGATGCGCTCGCGCCACATCCAACACCCTACCCCTTGCGCCCATCCCCTCGCATTGCGCAGTTTTTCCTCTGTTCGCCGACGCGTGTCAGCGGACCTGGAACTCCGAAGAGGACACCATCATGTTATGTGCAGTCGGAAGACGGAGCTGTGTATATTGAGAGAGGAGGAGGAGGAGGAGGAGGAGGAGGAGGAGGAGGAGGAGGAGCAGGAGGAAAAGGAGGACAATGAGGAAGGATGAGGACGTGTACGAACAGCAGCAGCAGGAGCTGGAGTGGAAGGAGCGGGGGGAGCACGAGGACCAGGTGAAGGCGGAGGAAGGGAAATGAGGGGGCGGCGACGATGAAAAATGACTCGGATCTAGAGCGTCGGATCTAGAGTGGTGGCCCGCGCTGGGGCGAGAGTGCCATTTCTGAACGACGGGCGCAAACTGCCGATCTGAACATGAGACCCACGCTGCTGTGGGAGCACTGTTTTGAAACACCGGAAACAATAGGATTGAACAAACAATGAGAAAAACACAAACATTGAATTGCGGTGCAGAGAAGCAGTACACGGAGAGGGCCGAGCATCTTCCAGACAGAGTCAGGGGAGAGAGAGAGAGAGAGAGGAGAGTAGAGAGTAGAGTTCATAATGTGTAATTGTGGGGGAGGAGGACGAGGAGAAGGAGGAGGAGGAGGAGGAGGAGTAGGAGGACGAGGGTAGGAGGAAAGGACCGATCCGTGCGGCTCCAGCTGTGGGACACGGCAGGCCAGGAGCGCTTTCGGAGCCTGATCCCTTCCTACATCAGGGATGCCGCCGCGGCGATCGTCGTCTACGATATCACCAAGAGGGCCTCGTTCTTGAGCACCAGGAAGACGGGATGGAATACGAAGGGGGGGAGAGGAGGGAGGTGGACGAGGGGGTTGATGATGCGACGCGCGGCTTCGCAAGGTTGCGTGCTCGATCAGTGTGGCTAGCCGGTGGGTGGCGCATAGGGCCTCACCACCATCTACGCCACCACCGGCTTAGCCCCCAAAGGAGAAAACATCGGGATCCCGTACCCCTGAGTCGGCAACACCCCAACATACTTATACTACACACCGCTCGGGAAACGATATACTACAAGATGGGTGTACTATATGTTCGGGTCGGACGCGCGCCTCCAAGGAGGACATATAGTATTAGTATGTCCATGTGCGTCCCACTGAGGGGCCCCCAAAGATGGCACCTCTGAGAGTGCTTCCCGCGCTCCGTGGAGCTCCGCGTGCGTGCTCCATGCTTGGCGCGCGCCGCGCGCCGTGCCCTGGCGGCAGCAGCACGGTTGGCCTCGCTGCGGGCACGCTGGGCCTCGCTCAAGACGAGGGGGGGGAGGAGGAGAAGGGACGACAGACGACGTCAACGACGTCGGAGGAACAGGAAGGGTGGACGGAGCAGGAGGGTCAAAATGACCAGTGGGGGGAGGAGGAGAAGGGACGACAGACGACGTCAACGACGTCGGAGGAACAGGAAGGGTGGACGGAGCAGGAGGGGCAAAGTGACCAGTGCCTGAGTAGACGGCCGCCTCCGCTTCGGCAGCGTCGTCCGCAGCTGCAGTCTGGGACTCGATATGTGCCGCTGCTCATCTTCTGCTTCGACCTCGGACTCCTTGTCCATAGTCAGTGTAGCAATACTCTCTGTCTGAAACCTGTGACGCTCAGGATCAGCTCTGCGCTTGCCCCGTTTGGGGCGCGCTCCGTAATCAGAGGGAATGTAAATGTGCTGCTCTCCTCACTGGACCACGGAACATGGCAATCCATCAAGGCCTGTAGCACGGCTGGCGGTTCCGAGTCGAAAACAAGGTCAGCGCCGTCCGACGCCACAATTACACGGCCGAGCCAAGGGTCGACCGAGCCAAGGCCTCGCACAGGCCCACAGGGTAAACTTTCTTGCCAGCCGTGCGGAACGTATTATCATCTGAACGTTTGCCTAAGAGCGTGATGTGCGCAAACCTGCCATGAGTACGCTTACCTTGTCCTGGCGTAGTTTTGAGCAGGTTAGGTTAGACCTGGCACTCTGAGTCCTAGAATGCGTGTAGGAGCACGCCCTATCTGATCCATAGGGGTGTCTGTCGGCCAATGCTCGCGCTGATCGAAATACCTGACAGTGGAGATGGAGGAAGAGGCAAGAGCGACAAGGGGACTCCAACGGAAGGCAATAGGAGCGGAGGGTATCCATGTCGCGGGCACACGGTGTTCAAGCCACCCAGACGTACCCGCTTTCATATGCTCGGCCAAGAGGAATACTATGGCATACAAACGTTGAGATCCTACTTCTACTTGTTGGGCTTGGCGGCGAGAGCAAAGCGGCACACCCCACACATGCTGATCCGTGCGAAAGGGGGGGGGCTCCATACCAGCGAGCCGCAGACCAAGTCTCGCAAGGCCCCCCCCAGTGTTGAAAACTCGTCTAGCCCGGGTGTGGCCAGCCCAACTTCTAATGCGTCTATGCGTGTGAGATCGCCTCGCTCAGAATCTATGGCAATATCTACTGACAGACAGTGCAAGGAAAAACGAGGATCCACAGCTTCACGTTCGAGATTCCATTGAACATCGCCCGCGCGCCTCATCCCCGAGAAAAGATTTTGCACACAAATTTCGGGACGCTGTATGCGAGCAGGGATGGGAGTCGAAGCCTCCCTTTCAAAATCCTGAGGCCGGAAAGGCCAAAAGCGATCCTCGAAATCAAAGGAGCACGGACCAGGAACAGGCTCCTTGGACGGTCCGTCAAGACCCTGAAGAACAAATTCAGAGGCCTCGGGGCTAAAAACATAATAGGATTCGATAAGTAACTGACGGGCTTCACTGTCACTCAGTTGACCGATGGCCTCGGACTCGAACTGAGACTTGACACGGGCGAGGGGTGCACGATGGGCAGGGAAATCGGGCCTCCATTTGCCCAGTCCTGCTGATCTTTGCTGAACTGTCCTGGCAGCGGCTGCAGCGTTCAACCGAGCGATCAAATCCTGCTTCTTGATAGCTCCATCTGGGTCTGTGCTGCAGTCGCTGTTACTGACTACGCAAGCCAATGCGCAACGTGGCGAGTCCTTCCCCAGGTGCTCGACGAGCGAAGCGCGCCTTGCAAAACGCGTGCTGCAATAGTCGCATACTGTGGCGTTCCCTAGGTTACCCCGAATAGTGTGCGCAAAAGATCTGTGATTGCGAACGATATGCTGACGGAGTCCTCTGATTTGCATGAAAGACATGACGCACCACATGCAAGCGCATGGGTCCTGCGGCTGATCCTGCTGCCGCAAGGGGTGTGCAGGATCAGTAATAGCCATGGGAACACCGGCCGAGTGACACATGCTGAAAACGCGGGCCTCCGCGTCACGCGCGAGAGCGATCCTTCTGTCATGGTGCGCCCGCTTGTGCAGCGCCTCGGAAGTGAGGGATTTCCAAAACTTACCTCGTCCTCTCACGTAGACTTCCCACGGCAGGAGTTCGATTCGAGGGTCTGACAGAGGTTGACGGTCCGCAGTGAGCCCTTGGAGCCAAGCTAGGTCCTGCATGGTCTGGGTCATCCAGGACCCTTCCACCTCTCTAAGGAACACCCCTAGAAGCCCTTCGAGGTGCGCGGGCCCGTTATTCAGGAGGCGGCCGAACAATCGAAGCCTGCGTGCTCGGATGTATATGTTGACGTTAGCCCTGCAAGCTTTAGCCAGAATAATATCATCGCGAGATGCAGCGTCGTCGGTTCTGGGTTCGCGCAGCATTGCGCGGTGCGCGCAAACGAGATCACCGTTCAAATTGGCAAGCTGCGCGGACGATAGTGGCGGCCAAGTACAGGAATTGTGCAATCTACCTGAGATAAGGAGAGGGCCCACCAATACAATCCCAAAAGGCGCGCCCAGCTCTGGCTCTCCAAGAACCTTTTTGAGGGTCTTCCATGGCCCAGAACAACTTCGGGCACGATGGGCCAACTTAGGGGCCAGATTGCAAGCATCGTCTAATACTGTACCCAGGTGTGTGCTGATGAACTGCGCGCAGTACGAATTGCCCATATTGTGCTGTTCATTCCCTAGAGGCCGTCCGCGTCTCTCCATCGAGCGTGCTTAGCCCCGTCAGCTCCCGCACCTCTGAATCGAAAAAGCGCTGCTGAGTTGTTTTTTTTTTCAGAGTGGAAGCGCGTGCCTCTCTCCGCAAAAGTGTCAAAGATGATGCTGACCAGCATCGGCGCGATCGAAAGCAGGATTCTTGCCCGGCCCATGAACATGAACAGTGAATCATCGAATAAGACCATATCCATAGAGTGCTCTGTATATGCTGCCTCGGGGTGGGAAGCTTCCGAGATGCTGCCGTTGGGGCGCGCTGGAAGGCGAAGCTCGACTCCGAACTCCAAGATGCGGCCCTGGACCACTCGCGCGATGGACCCCATCACGAAATTGAAAATGAGACCCCCAAGCTGTTGGCCAGAACCCGAACCAATGACAGGAAACGCCACGCGCGAGCCTCCAGGGACCACGAACCAATTTTGATGATAAGCGTCGGCGACCAAAGCGTGCAACCGAGGAGGGAGACCCAAGAACCCAACTAAAGGCCCTCATGCCGAACGCGCTCCGCGAGGTCCCTGGTAGCGTCGGAAGGTAACCCAGCCATGCGGAATACGTGGGCGATAGCCTCCGTTGACTCAGAACAATGCGCGCGGAATATCAGCTCGCGCAAGCTCTAGTAAAATGCCTGAACAGCATCGAGCGGAAGAAAGAGGGTAGACAACTTGCGTGCTGCAGCTATCTGTTGATCTGCGCAAAGTTCGAGAGCAGCATGATCTGCCCCTTATACCCCGCATACCTCCACATGGTCGAGAATCCCGCAAAAGGAGGTAGGAATGGAGCAACCTGGGCTCGTGACAAAGCCTTAGATCTCTTGCCCAACTGAGACGATCCCAAGATAGACCGATAACATTGTTTGTCCCGGGGGTCCCCACGCGTGAATAAAGCCCAGTAGTGCCCACCCTTTCATTGAATAGGTTCGATCGTACGTAGGAATACTTTGGTGATCAACGGATGCAGCATCATTGAAATGGGTTTAAACAGCCTGGCGACCATGCGGCCTGTGACTCCATCTGGACCTGCTGCTGCATTGCGTGTAATTGTGCAAGCTCTCTCAACTTGTGCTAAACTGGGAATATCTGTGTTATCGCATTCGAAATCGTGAAAGTCGGCATCCGGCAGGGCAAGCGTATGAGTATCAAACCAATGGAGGTCTTGTATGGGAACCACTGTGCCGGCCTCGATGGAGGCAAAGTGGCGGGTCCAAGTCTGAACCACTTCGCTTTCTGAAATCAGAGCCTCCTGGTCAAATCCCAGAAGAATCGGCGGTGGGTTAGTGCGGACCACCTTGCGTGAGCAAGCTCCCATCCTTCCCATGCGTGAAAAAGCGTGGGCATGGTCATGAATTGACCAAGCACTGCTAATACTCTGCGCAATATTCGAGTGGGGTGAACTGGCGTCTGCTCGCACCTGCAAATTGACAAGGCGGGTCGTCGCTTTCAATGCGATCTGTCTATGCGTGAGGGTAACGTCTGCAACGCGACGAAGACGCAAAAGCCACTTAGACACGCCGCGCTGTTGTCTAAATCCTGCAATCCTCCAAGGGGCACCTGACGGGAGCTTGGCGGTGGGGCCTAAGCGGGCCCCGACATAACACCATTTGCACCCTGCTTTGTTGGGCGCCTGAGTGCTCTGGGTATAGCGAGCATGTGTGGGGCGACTTGGGCCCGGAGGGGCTTGCCGAAGAACTTGAACATGTCTTGAAGTTGAAGCCAGGCCCAATGCGCCGATTGAAAGGCTTGGAGGATTGTAGGGAGGCCTGGCGGGCGCTGATACTATACCCA